ACATATGATTGTACCTATAACCCAAAGCATACGCGATACTGTTAATATTACCTTTATTAACAGTGGACATAGGGGTTTCTATTGTAGTTTAGTATAGTCCCTAATATAGTCCCTAAATAAGGGACCCATATCAATCGAATTATGCAGGAAATATTGACTGTAGTAGCTCAAATGTCCACGGCCAGTCACAAAAGGCTATGATTTGGCAATCAGTTTTTCAAAAGAGGCCTTGAAGGGGTGCCATTTGAGCTATAGTCTAAACTCCTAGTATCCCCCTTAATAACCCCTATAGTAGCCCCCTATATAATCCCCTATATAACTCCTTTAAGGAGTTTAGACTATAGCTCATATGACTCCAATATATACCCTATCATCCCTATATAACCCCAATATTATAGTAGTTTCCATTTTCTTTTCCATTATCCCTATATAATCCCTGATATCCCCCCCTTTAAGGAGTTTAGACATTTAAGGCTTCAAGCGGGCAGACCCCAGCTTGACGGAGCAAGCTGTCCTGATGAGGCCAGGTCTTGCCTTTGAATGGCGCAGTGGTGGGATTGGCGGGGGGGGGGGCGGTTGTTTTCGGTTGTTCTCAACATGGGGGGCCCTTAAGGACCCTGGGGCTAGGGTTTTGGGTTCAGGGCTTAGGGTACAGGGTTTCGTGTTTTGGGTTTAGGGCTAGGGGTAGGCGGACTTAGCATGGGATCACCAGGGTTTGTTCATGGCAATTCTTGATAAATGCCTGAGTTGACAAGGTTTTGCACAGCACGTCAACACTATCATAGTCAGTACACAGCAATGATTCATGTTGGTGCTTCTGCTTTCGGTACTGCCCACACCCCTTAACAGTTGGATAATATTTTCAGAGCAAGTATGTAGAGCCCTTAGTCGACTGCTAAGGGGCCCAAGTTATGCCGCAGCTCTCCAGTCCTCAGCTGCTTGAAGTTATTCCGATTGCTGTTCCACTGCCGGATGATAGAAGCGGCTTTTTGTATCACCCGCACAATTAAATCCGTCCAATGTCCTTATTTCCGTGCTCGCTACCATATACTACCATGTACATGCAGTGACATGCAGTGAATGAACACTGCCTTTTGCGCAGCCGTCTATGGGGCGCAGAGCCTTCACTGAATAGGTAGAACCATCCAGCCCCTAAAAAGGTCCTTAAGCCCTAAACAGCAAACTTGAGGATCTCATTTATGCATTTCGATCCATGAAGAACTGGCGATGGCGCTCTCCAGCGCTGGTGGTTCTTGTTTCCCTGACTGGCGGGAGCGAGCTGGAGGCAAACACGATCACTTGGGGCCCCCTGAAGCTGTCTCGAGACAATGCTCCTAGAAGGTTAAGGTTCCATGGGGGGATATGGGTTGTTCTCAAAATCATGGGCCCTTTTCGGCGATGGGCTATAATACGGCACCTAGTATTTAGGGGTACCAAAATGGGACCCCATTTTTGGGAACTACCCATATATTGGGAAAATGGAAAAGAAAATAGAAACTTGTATATGAAAGGGTTTAGGGCTTTAGGGTCTGGGGCTTGGGGTTGTGAGAAGGGTTGGGGTCTGCACAAGGAGGCAGATCTGCATCGTGAATAAACCCCCCACCCCTGATTCAAAAGGTTGGATTCCTTAGTTGTGAGGGCCTTGGCTGTTGACAGCTTTCGGGTAGGGAGGTTTGGGCATGGCTATGTTGTTAAGGCATTGCTTCACTAGCTTTCAATTGTAAGTTGAGGATTTTCAGAACATGGATGACCTAAACCTAAATGGTAGTTTCCATGTGATTTTCCATTATCCCAATATAACCGCAATATACATGAGGCTCTTCAGAACATGGATGAGGTGCACAAGTTCATCCAAGGCATCTATTACTCAAGAGCTCCTCAGGCGGGTAGCTGACATCCAAACCTAATGTAGGAGCCTAGAAGTAATCAGAATAGGGCGGCATATCTGGGTATATTCTACTATACTTACTATGGGGTATACGGGCATTTTATACTCTACTTACTTTGGGGTATATGGGTATATTCTACTATAGGTGCTATAGTCACACAAGGGTCAAAAGGGAATAGTTTTGATAATCGTTCAAGCTTCTACTCGTTGCAGAATGTTTGCCGCTGCCCCTGCAAAGCCTGAGGAGGCGTTTCGCGAGATGTGGGCGGAGGTCTCAGAAGGACCGATTTGCTGTCAAGGAACTTACATAAACTTACCATTTCCAAGAAGCTATCTTATGCACTAGACTCGTCACCAGATATCTACATTGTAGTCACTTGACCTACACAACAACGCCCATATACCCACCCACCCCCCCTCCCCCCGGTGTGCATTTCATGTTCAATTTATCTGTTTCATTTTCCATAATCTGCCTAAACCCTAAAACGTGAACCCTAAACCCTCTAGTCCTTAGCATCAGCCCAAAGGACTGGCGTTTTTGGAAACCTTGGCACTGGATTCCACCCCAGCACTCTGCTTCGCGATAGGCAATATAGGGTTTTGGGGTATCTGAGGTATGGCAGTTTCCCAAAATGAGGGTACCCCAAAATACACCCCAAAATATGAGAATCCTTATTATTAGAGGGATCCCCAGAGATGGTATTCCCAATTTTGGGAAACCCCTGCATGGGCTTCAAGGAAGTTAATGTTTTTAGGGTTCAGGGCATGCTTTAGGGTTCAGAGCTTAGGGTATTACCCGCACGATGGAGATTCATGGGGAGAAGCAAATGGATAATGAAATGGCAAATTGGGTGTGTTTGGGTGTCCAGTAGGGGGTGTTCACTAATAGTCTAGGGTGCGTTTGGGCGTTGGCAGCCTTTCCCTATGATTACTTCTAGTATGGGACGCAAAAGTTCGTCCAAGTATTCACACCCCTACGTTACACAAAACTTAGTAAGCCTTCATTTTTCAATTTTCAAACACATCCCCTGAAATTGAACCACTCCCATCCATCCTCTAATGCATGTGGAACAATGGCTCCACGATACCTGATATCTCATATTTGAGCGGGGAGTGGAGTACTTTTACATTACATGCTCGGGAGGGTCCCTAAGCCCCAAACCGTAAACCCCTAAATCCTAAACCCCAAACCCTAAAACCTAAATCCTAAACCCTAAATGGGCCCTGGAGGCATGGAGCTCTACCACTGGTTCTACTTCCGGTGGGAGGATGGCGAGGTTTTGCGTGCGGAGGTGGACAACTCTGCGCAACTGGCTGCTGGCTGAGGGTTTAGGGCTTAGGGTTTAGGGTTCAAGGTTTGGGGCTTAGGAATTCAGGTTTAGGGCTCAGGGCTTAGGCCTTAGGTTTTAGGGTTTAGGGCTTAGGGTTTAGGTTTTAGAGCTTAGGGCTTAGGGTTTAGGGTTTAGGGAGGGCTTAGGATTGAAGGGCAGGGATGTCAATGCGCTATATGACATATAGTATAAACTCCTTGTCGGGGGTTATATAGGGGATTCTACGGGACTACTATAACAAGGGGGATACTAGGAGTTTAGAAAATCTGGAAGCTTGGGGCTTACAATTAGGAGGGCAGGAATAGGGTTTAGGGTTTAGGGCTTACAGTTGGGAGGGCAGGAATTGAATAGTAGTACTCATCCATGGCTCCCTTACAGAATACAGGTGCCTCCCCGCATGATTGTAACTTGAATCCTGAACCTGAAGCCCTGAGTCCTACACCTTAAGGCACTTTTAACATTACGCACTAAGTCCTAAACCCCCGACCCCAAGTCTGTACCCTTTCTTCCCTACCTAGCAACAGTCAGGCAGGGGCGTGCTGCTGTGCTTGTTCACTGTGGCCTGGAGAATGCTGGCTGTTTTGAGGCGACTTTGGGTTGGGTTTAAGGCTTAAGGCTTGGAGTTTAAGTTTTTGGGCTTCCCTTGTTTAGGGAGCCCCGCATAAATCTTACATGTACCCCATCCTAAAAATTTCCCATCTTGTTCGTCCTTGCTAGGGGGTTCGCCCAGACAGGAATCCAGAAGCCTAAGAAACTCCCATGCCCGAAGCGTCCAAGTAACTCATAATCATATACTTGCCCAAAACCTGTGCCAGAATTACTTTTACCCAAAACCCAAGTCCTTAATTCGAGTGTATTTGGACCCTCTGGGATATATAACCCTAAACCCTAAACCTTAAAACCCTAAACCCTAAAACCCTAAACCCTAAATCCTAAACCCTAACCCTATACCCTGAAACCCTGAACCCTATACCCTAAACCCGAAATTCCCATGTATGTTGCAGCTGCGGAGGATGCCACTGATGTGGAGCAGCCTAGAGAGGATAAGGTGCGGCACTTCATGGAGCAAGGATGCCACATGGGCTATAGTGTTTAGGGGTTTGGGGTTTAGGGTTTGGGTGTTTAGGGTTTAGGTGTTTAGGGTTTAGGGGTTTAGGTGGACCCCCCTACCCAGTAAGTGACTATAAGCGATAATGGTGATTATATTAGGGTCCTCTTATAAAGCCTATTATACCGCTATTACATGGTGGGGGGTCCACCTAAGCTATGGTCTCCACTCCTTAAAGGGATTATATAGGGGATTACCGGGATTGCTGGTTATACAGTGGATTACATAGGGTTGGGTTTGGAGTCTAATCTCCTTAAAGGAGATTGTATAGGGGATTATATGTGGGAGTCTTGTAGGGGTTACTAAGCCCTAAACCCTAAAACCCTAAGCCCCAAAACCCTACACCCTATACTAGGGGCTTGTTAAGGGGATACTAGGAGTTCAACCCTAAAGCCCTAAACCCTCAAACCTACACCGGGGATTATGTAGGGGATTTTTATGAGCTACGGACTAAATTTAGGTTGGGGGGACCTATAGGGGACTATATAGGGTTTCGGGGGATCCATTAAGGGATATACTACAAATTTAGTCCAGAGCTCATTCCCAAAATGGGGGACCCCCAATATAGTAGGACCTTCATTATTGGGACCCCCAAGTCGGCACCCCTAATTTTGGGAAACCCCCATATAGAGGAGTTTAGCGAGGATGCCACATCTTCTGGCAGCAGCTGGTCATGATCGAAGCAGAGCTTGGCTCTGAGCTTGCGAGGCGGGGCACCTGTGAATTGCATGAAATAAGAATAGCTAGGTCCCTTTAAAGGGATATTTCGTGGTACATAGGGTTTAGGGTCCAAGTACCCAATAATTAAGGACTTGGGTTTTGGGTAATAGTACAAATTTTGGGCAAGCATATGATTATGAGGTCAGGATAAGAGTACTAACAACAGTAATAATGGATACAAAGTATTGTTGTCATTTATTTGAGACTGACCTCGTATCATGATGGCCCTACTTCCCTGCTGTAGCTTCCTGTCCACAATGGCAGGCGCAGAGACGTCCGACCAGCGTCCTTAGTCCTTCGCAAGGCCAGCGAGCACTTCGCAAAGATGATGCAGCATCCGTATTTTGCACGATTCTCCTGGCAGCGCCCCCACGACATGAACTACAACAATGAAATGTTTCCCTCTCCTGGTCCTGTCTGGCCAAACAAGCTGCTGCCCATTGAGAGCTGGCTTGAGGAGTCAGGGTCAGGGTGAGTGTCTGAAATTACCATTACCTTGTGCAAGGGATATTGGCAATCACGTAAGGGTCCGTCTGTGTCCTGAATTGCAGTGTTTGTGTAGCTTGCCTACGTAAGCATCAACAGGGATACTCTTGACTTACGTCATCATATTTACAGATCACTGTGGCAAATGGGTTGTCAAGTGCTAATCCACCTGTAGCCGCGACGAGGATAACTTCGCAACGTTCAGAGGGGAGCTTGACAATCTGCTGGAGAAGCCAGGACTCTTTGATGCCTTACACGAGGCGGAGAGGAATGCAGAGGCCTAAACCGTGAATTTAGATGCACATGTGCGTTGCCTTTGGAGGACACCCCATAAATCCTCCTGCTACATGGTGTTTACAACTTGTTCATGTCAAGCTTGACGGCAGCTGATGTGCCTTCATTGCAAAAACCTTGAAGTGTCTTATTCAAGATCCACACCAGCAGGGGCAAGATCATGCCAGAGAAAAAGACTGGACCGTGCTCGAATTGGCAGACACCAGGGAGGAGGAGCCCTGGAAAGTGGCAGCCTGCTTGCAGCTGCCTCGCTCTTGTGGCTCGCCATGATACAAATGTTGTAAACAGGATTACAAGATGTTGCCCCCCCCACATACGATGTTAGTATGCAGCATAGTTTCTCATCCTAAACCACGATAGGGATTGTTATGGATGATGGTTTGTGATTCATGGTGCCGCTGCCTTTGTTTGGGACTGTGCATGTCGTGTACTGGTGCGCAGACAACTTACTTGCTGCTACTCGTGGTAGGGAATGGAGGGAAGGGTCCTTACAACCGTAGCTCTCATAGAACCCACAGCCATATAGTCGGTTTTATTATCCTTTCCATCTTTCATTCGCGACTGACAACCAGCAAGACATGGGCCTTGCCTGCATGCGTGGCGTCGCTGAGGTGAGCTGCTGCGAAGCAGGCGGGCAGGGCAAAGCCGGCGCACAGCGCAGCTCTCAAGTAAGGGCCGCTTGTATATCCCCCCAGTAATATAGGGATTATACAGGGATTATACAATTGCAGTATAGGGATTTTATTCCCTTATTCCCCACTGACCGTCACTGAGCACCAGTAAGAATAACAATGGTAAGAACACCAATCATGATAAGTCGAATATCCATATGTTGAAGCCTTTGCAGCTTAGGGGTGCCAGAGGCCGGAGTTCCAGTGCGATCACGCCGCAGCCTACATCAACCGCATGCGTCCTGGGGCCTCTTGCCGGGTGTTTTAGATGTTGCTAGTAGGGAATGAAGGACTGGACAACAAGAAGGAAATTATAATTCTATTGAGGGTTATTTAACGGCTCAGAAAGGGCCCATTCCACAATCATTCCCTCCGTTCCCGACCAACAACCTGTAAGGCTTGGATCAAGCCTCATATGGGTGGCCCACCGCGGCTTGTGGCTCACCTTGGGTTCCTCAGCACCCATTACAAGCTGCTGTCCGTTTGAAATTTGCATGAGTGACCATGCTGTTAGGCTGCTAGGGACGCCCCCCAAAGAATCAGAAGGATCCCACATTATGGGTATTATGCCGCCAAGGCCCGGAACCCTTAATGTATGGACTTTCTATGTTTGTGTGGTTTTTCGGTATCTGCCTTGTACGTGCTCATCAGTACCAGCCTACTCGAATGTAGGCGGCTTTACGCATGGGACATACTCGCGGGCAATCTGCCAGGCTAGACGTGCCACCTGCGTCGCTAAGCTAATGAAGCAAGCGTTTTGAGCTTCAAGTTGGTTGGTACAAACTGTCGTAGACTTAGGAGGAGAGCTATATGCTAATCCCTGCACGACTGTCTTAAGCTGCAGGCCAATTGAGCTGTACGTGGGCACTGCCAAGCTGAAGTGGGAGACCGGCCGCGCACACGTCATTGACGACACGTACCCACATTCGGCACGTCATCTCGGAGAGCATGACGAAGGTGACGAGCGTCACTCGGCTCAAGATGACAATTGTCACTGTTAGAGATAGGCTCCGCTTGTGAAGAAGCGTTTGGAGCTTGGGGGCAATCGCTGCCGCCTTTGTGTGACTTCTGCTGATGTCAGGCTACATCCTCCATCTGCTCATGTGCCATCCTTGTGAAGAACAGCAGCGGGCTGCATACACTGGCCAGGCAGCTTCACAACAATGGTTGCTCGATACTCTGGGGCAGTGTTAACTCTAAGGTGTTGCAAAAGCTTTTTGGCCGCATGCCAGAAGCTGCTGAGTAAGTCCCCGAAATCTGTTCCGCTTGAAGAAGGCCTTTGTTACGCCTAGGTTGTTCAAATCGCGCGACAAAAGTGAACAAGTCAAACAGCCCTGTGACCTTGTCGCAGGAGCAGGTCTGCGGCGGAGAGGGCGGGTTCAGCTGAGTTCGACCTGGCTATCAGCGACAGGCTCCTTTCTTCCAGGCAACCGCTGTCAGATATTCTGCCAGAGCTCGGCACGCAGGTGTTTGTGCCATCTACTTGTACTAACAAGTGGGAGGACGAGCAGCTGACCAGTCATTCACTGACCAAAACTGCTTGCGGTGAGTTTGTTCTGGTATATTCCGGACTTCGTCTCTCTGGTCGCCTCCGCAGGTGTGCGGTTACCGATCATATTATGACTCACATTCTGAGCTGTCGAAGAACTCCTCGTGCACGAAGGGGCTCAAGATTTCTTAGTATCAGATCTGTTTGTCTGGGGCCGGGGCTGTTTGCACCGTGGATGGTGCAAGAGATGGAAGCCTGTATTCTGAACATCCAGACCTCGCCATGTGCATGGAGAGAGTTTTTTTTTTGCAAGTGGGATCGCAGCATGCAAGGCAGTACGCGATCAGCATTGTAGTGGAGCACCATGTCAATGTGTTCCTGCAAGTCTATTGCTCTGCCTCCGACACCAGGATAAGGCTGGACATTCAGCTAGTGCTCAGGTAGCCTCCACCTCCTCCTCCTAGCAGAATTGCCATGCCGCAAGTTCATCAGTTTGGAGCAAGGGGCCATGAAACTTAAACGGATAGTCATATCCTTCAGACATACCTCTCCTCCTCGTAAAGGTAGACCTCCCGTAACTAGACAGCTTGAGCTGGCTGGCCGCCTTCGAAACCGCATCAGAAGAACTACCGAAACGCAGGCGACTGCCAACTTATGTACTGCCACGGGGATGGCATGCAAGCCACCTGCCATGTTCAGGGCAGCAACAGGGAAATGCCCACTTTTCGTGGCAATGTTGGCAGGCCTTCAGTTCGCTGATAATGCCGGCGAGTATCGCCCAAGGATCATCAGCCCCAGAGCCAAAAGTTAGCAGGTCCAGGAAAGCCTTGTTAATAATGGAAAAGAAAATGGAAATTACTGTAGTGTAATAAGGTTTAATATAGGGTACTATAGGCGTTATATTTGGGGAAAGGCCCTGCCAGCTTGAGGCTGGGATATGTTCAGCACCCGAAGAGGTGCCCAGAGCTCGCAACTCAAAATCGCAACAGTCACGGCGAGTAACAATGCAGCTGGTGTCCATTCCAATTTCTTCGAGCTGCTGATGGGGTTTGTCTCCAGCTGAAAAAGGAGGAACGGGGCCGTTGAAGATTACATGGCAAAGAAACAGCTATGCCAGGCGATGCCACAAGGACGAAGATGTATTGGGGGCAAAGCACACGAGTGGTTTTTCCGCAGCTTGAAGACGTACGACCGCACTTTGTCGTGAAAGCGTTCATGTGCACGGCTGAGCAGTATGGGTCCGCGCGAGAGATTCAAAAGAGGTGATGTTGTATGGTGATGTTGCCTGTCATCAGCGACGTTCCCTTCTTTCATCTAATCCTTTTTATAGGTGTAGCACTTTACCGAGAAAGGTTCTGGAACTTCAAATGTCTCTGCCCATCTTCCAGTACTCGGCATCCCGTTTAAATGCCAGGTCTCTGCGAGACACCAATGTTGCCAAGATTGAGGCCTGCACCTACTTCATGTGATATATAGTCTCAACTTCTTAAAGGGGGTTCTATAGGGTTTAGGGTTTAAAGCTCCTTCAAAGAGGGGTTATATGGGGGATCATATACGGGAGTATTATATGGGCTACTGAGGGGGATACTAGAGTGGGAGTTTAGACCATGGCTCATGTGATCTGGCTCATGTGATCTTTCCATCCTCTTATAGCATCATGAGCATTATTACTACTTCTTCTACCGGTTCGCCTGCTTCCTGTGTTGTTCTTTTTTATTGTTTTGGATAATGGGAGGTATTGTGAAATGGCCACCCGTGCCTATGCTTGGTAGGCTTCCTTTGGATTGCTTGATTTAAAGATCTCTATCCCAGGCTTTATCTTTAGATGTCTTTAGAAAACGCCGAAGCCCAAAGCCCTTGTAAGTCCCTAAATCATGTGATGTTGTAAGCCAGGTATCCCGTCGTGGACAAACTCTGATGTTTTGAATCTTTTTGACTACTAGATGTTAAAGATAATCCATTTTCCCTCAACACTGGGAGTGAATTTAGGGTGGGGAACCACTCAGATGGAGTATGGTATTTTGGGGTCTATATTGGGGTCGCCCAAGTTAGAAATACCACTTGTGTTCCGTAATCAACTTCCAAGCCCAAAGACCCACCAAGGAACCTTGCTAATCTTGCAAGTAGAGGTAATAAATCTACCCAATTTTGTGACCCTATAAACTCTTTCCCCTGCACCCTCAACCCTAAACCCAACGTTTCGACATACCCTTTTGGCAAGGGAGATGATCTCAAGATCTTCATGGGCTTGCTGGCTGACCTTTTTCCAGGAGTGCAGGTGCACTGTCACCCTCCTTTGCTTTGTTTCATCCAGGAGGTCCTAGGAAAATCGGGCATAGCAGAGTAGGATGTATGTCCACTTGCGTTTGGTTGACTAGGAATGTGCTTATATTATACTAGGTTATATACTTGGGTTACATAGGGATAATGGAAAAGAACATGGAAACCCATAATCGGGGGTTTAGGGTGTAGGTGATGGGTTATATAGGGATAATGGAAAAGAACATGGAAGCTACTATTTAGGGTTTAGGTTTGGGTACTGCCCCCTCTCAGCAACAGTGGATTGTGTCTATAATGCAAATCATGTACAGCCCTGAAGTACCTTTATCGTAGATTTCATTCACTACCTACATGAGCTACGGACTGAAGTTAGGTTGCGGGGGAGCTGAAGAGGGATGTACAGGGGGTATAGGGGGACCTAGTAGGGAATGTAATAGAACTTAAGTCTGGGGCCTACGTAAGGGTCAGATAGTTGCCAGCGCCATGCAAGTAGTTCTCACCATTGGATTATCAGACCTCAAAGTTATGCGAACACGTAAAACAGTAGTGTCCGAGGTTGTTGGAACCCTGGGAAGAATGTAGCTACATCACTAAAGGGTTAGGAATCCGTTTGCAGCAGAATGTTAGGCTGCCTGGGATTTAAAGGCTTCCTAGTTACCCTTGCAGCAACCCACCCACAAGCTAGATCCCTCCCAAAAGGCCTTGGCAAGCCACTGTTTAGCCCCCGTGAAAGTTTGAGAGGTTCCCCGCGCCCGAGATCGTGACTTTGAGAAGCTTTGCGTTGAGGCTGGGCCTGAGCTCGGATGGAAGGTTCAAGGGAGGTTATATTCGTGATTTTCTGTGGAATATTCATTATAGGGGGTGTTAAGGGGCATACTGGGAGTTTAGGTTACAGCTCAAATGCCTCCCGGAGAGTTGCAGACTGCAAACATCCACACGAGAGATTCAGATGCATGATCGTGTCCCAAGGTTATGGAATCTGACTTCGGCTACACCAACGACCCTGATGGGTAAGCCCCTCATGCAGTTGCGGTACCGCAGCAGTGCCACTGCCCCTTGCGCCATGTGATGCAATGTAAAGAAATGGGCTGGACACATGGATTTTGTTACAGGAGACTTTCTCAGAGTGATGTTGAGGTACCTTCTCTTGAAGATCTCCCAGCTCATTGAACTTCTGGAGATTCGGCACTCCGTTTTCCTGATGGGCAATCCCGGCAGCTTCAAATCCTTCCTCTGGAAGGCCTTGCTCTCCAAAGCACGGCATAGGATCAACCGGTTCTAGGGCCTAATTATAGGGTTTAGTTTAGGGTTTGAGGTGTAAGGCTTTGGCATTGAAGCTAGTGGAGTACTCTTGCCTCACTAGGGGAGCGTGCCGTGTCGAGTGAATCTCTGAAATGATCCTTGAACATGTATATACCTAGAATGGTACCTACATTCACGTGCCCTTGAGCACCAGTAAGCTGCAGCTGCTTGGAGACTTCTGTTTGAGCTGCGTGGTGGTCTGATTGTCTTAGACATGTGTTCAGTGTGGTGCTGGTGTTGGTGGTGCTCCTGGTGCCGCCGGTGCTGCTGGTGCTGCTGGTGCTGCTGGCGTTGCCGCATGTCAATGGCTGTGGGGTTGGCGGTGGTGACGGCGACGGCAGGGGTAGTGATCATACTCAACAGGCTATCGATCATAGTAATTCTCGCAAGAGTATTTTGACTTTATCCTCGTGAAGGTACTGAAGAATGCCAAGACAAAGCGTGGCCCTGCACTTGGCTTGTAGAAATTCCTTGCCTAGGACTATGCAGGGATTCTGTCAAATGGAAACTGGAGGTTTTTATGGATATGGTAGTTTCACAAAATAAAGGGACCCCAATATAGACCCTAATATATTATGATCCTTATTATAGGGGCCCCCAAAAAGGTACCCGTAACTTTAGGAAACCCCCATATACAGGCGCAGGGTGTTGAGTTGCTGCTTGTTGGAATAGGATCAAGCATTCGACAAGAACATGGAAACTATGGTGCTGGTAGTACTATTGGGCGGGGTGTTATAAAGGAGCTGCTAGAGGGCTCGAGAACCCGTCATTCCCTACTTACAACCACTTAGATTCTGGCCCGAAAGCACAGATAGGCAGTCCTTTCAAGGTTCAGGGTTTGGGCCTGTGCTTCAGGGTCAGAGCTTTGGAGCCAGAACAGGTTCCCTGCTCACCCCCCCCAGTTTCCATCTCATTGTTTTCATCTTTTGGGGGAATCCTTACAGACTATGAGGATCCCGTCATATCCCTATAGATCCCCATGCAGTACGGCATGCCCTGTATGGGCCATATGTGGGGTGGTTTATTTATAGGGATTAAGGGTTTCTATAAATTAGGGGTTTCTTCTTGTGGGTTTGCAAGGGTTATAGTAGATCGAGGTCTATATTGTGGTCCGTCCTATTTATGGAAACGACTATATGAAATCCCGCCTGAATAGTAGAGTCTTGTTGTTGGAGCATGCCCCTCAAGTCAGCAGATCCCATTGATGAAAGAGGATACCTTGCATGTTGTAGGGATAGGCAGTTCATATGTGTTTTTCTATGCTACTTTCCCTGTAATCTCCATGGCTAGGGTAATATCCCTACATAATCCCTTAACCCTTAAACCCTAAACCCTTAACACTCTGTCATGGAATTCCCTTATGACCTCAATACCAGCATCCCGAGGCCCTGGTTTACCTTAAGATCCTAAACCTTGAATCCTCATCGCTAAGCCACCCCTTGCGGGGCATAGATTAGGTAGACACCCCTGCCCTGTAATAGTGATTATAAGGGATAACATAGCAGGGATTATATCAGGGTCCTCTTGTATCCCTATTATACCGATACCACTATGACAGGGTGGGATGGTCCTCCTAAGGTATAGAAACCTTAGGAAAATGGCTAAACCCTAAACCCAGACCCTAAACCCTAAACCCTAAACCCAGACCCTAAACCCTAAACCCAGACCCTAAACCCTAAACCCTAAACCCAGACCCTAAACCCTAAATTAGTGGCTTCAGGTGACAAGACCACAGTTATCGACTTTAGCCCCAAAGCAATCACCACCAACGAGCTCTATGGAAGTGTGAACATGGTCCATGCCTCGGTTTTCTGAAAGTCTACAGTTGATGGAGGGCATGATACCATAATGGGTATATATATATACATTAATATAGTTTCCCCAAATTTAGTAACTTAAGTTAAGTTCCTTAATAACAACCATTCCGCACGACTCAGGGTACCTAAGCTAGTCAGATACGTGCGCTGGGCAGTCAACATGCCGTCTCTAATAGTGCAGACCTGGGATTGGCTGACCCCATTAGTCATAACAGAATTTTTGAATTGGGATCCCCATTAGTACTTTGACGCCCTTCCCTACCCAGGATTGATGATAGGGATTCCACTGGGTCCACACCCCACATGAATTTCCTCTGGAAACAGCCTTTTCTAGGCTCTAGGTTAGAAATACTTACACCTGTAGGAAGATTTCGGAAACTTTCTGCAGTATATCCCGGCATCAGGGGATGCTGCAATGTCTCGAGAATCTCACAGGCTGATGAAATGCCGGACACTTTTGGGTTGATGGGTTTATAGTTTGACAAAGCAGCTATAGAATAACTTCAACAAAGGCACGACTATGGAGATTGAATTCGTTCTATAATCGCGCACTGTCTTCATGCGCAGCCTTTCATCATGATTTTTTTCAGATGGCCCTTCTGGCATGCATTCCTAGTCTTTCGAGTGGCTTGCAGGACCCCTGTTTTGAAGTTCAGGGATGCTTTAGGTCGAGAATCCTTGTTCAGGATCCGGTCAGTTGAGTAGTATTTTATTTGGGGGTACTATGGTACCCAATATAGAGTAAGATTATATCCTCGCTTTGGGGTATAGCATTTTATATAAGGAATATAATCTTACTAGGTTCAACCACCAAAAACAAACACTACTCAGTCGATTTTTCATGGAAGTGCTCCGCTCAGTACACCCGCGAGTGGAAAGATGGCATCCTGTCAAAGACCATGCGCGACCTGGGGTCGGCCTTGCCTTTCCATGGGTTTTGGGTTTTGGGGTTTAGGGTTTAGGGTTTAAGGGTTTAGGGGTTAGGGTCTAGGGGTTTAAGGATTTTAGAGATTTAGGGTTTTGGGTTTAGGGGTTTAGGGTTCAGGGATCTAGGGTTTAGGGTCCATGGCTTGTGGGTACAGGCGTTACTTGGAGTTTCATGTCATACCGGGATCATATATCAACATCTAGGAATCTAGGACTCCCTTAGGTCAATCACCCCATACAGTCATTGCCTCTAAATGTGGAGTTTATAGGCTTCAATATACCTGCAACCTTCCCTTGTGGTACCCATTACTGGGTGGGGACTCGACCCAAGGACTCCCCACATAAGGGCGCAAGGTTTAGGAGACCAGTGCTTACGATTCAAAGGTTAAGCGCTCCACCGCCCCGAGAAACTCATCATTTGTACCGGATTCCGATGAAGTTCCTAAACCGGGTCTCAAATTGAGGGTCCCTTTGAGATCAGTGGCAAACTCTGTTTATGGCTGAGCTTTAAAGGCACTTTAAAGACTGGCGGTCTGACATTTACACGTTCTGCTGCCTCGCCCTTCGCCAGATTTCAACAGACCAGATGACTTTCAACTATTGAGTACCCATTTCTAGGGCCCCAGAACACTCTGTTAAAGGTATTCGAAGGGCCTAGGTAGAATTCTCAAGCCACAAAACGGGCAAAACGAGCTATGGCCAGGCAGATTCCTGACACGCATCCAAAGTGGATCATGCTTGATGGTGATTTGGATGCCAACTGGATTGAATCAATGAACAGCGCCGTGGCCTCAGCTGAGAGTTGTGAGAAAAAAATGACTTATAGAATCCTTAATGAGGACCCTCCGGGTTCATTGAGAAGGTATCATAGGGTTTAGAGTTGAGGGGTGAACCAAAACGACTGGGTTTGTAGCTGGCGGCTGGCAACAAGCGCCTTTGGGACAAGCTTCTTTTGTGGAGCATACCCGTGCCAAGCGTTCGAACATGGGGTGGGGTTTGAACATAGGGTGGGGTGGGCCAGCACCAAAACGGGTTTTTGATCCGCATCCAGATACCCCTGATGTCCTTTCGAGCCACCCCATTGTTTGGAGCTAGGGGCTGTGACAGGATGCAGCAGCGTGATCAGCACTTAGGTCATGGATGACAGCAGGCAGGCTGCTTCGTATCTACCCAGGATTTCGGGGTTTAGCATTCAGGGTTTAGGGCTTAGTGTGTAGGGGTTTACGGGTTTGGGATTTAGGTGAAGTACCATTGTTGCTGCCAGGCTCCTGACCCTGCCATCGAACGAGAGGATCCCGCTGAAGGCATTCAGCTAAGCTTGTTGTAGTCTGGCAAGGGATGGTAGCAGGAAGCTGAAGAACAGGTCCTGTCTTTTCACATCTTGCCAGATGCACATGAAGATGATTTTCGAGATCCGTGATCTGAACTACGCAACCCCTGCTACGGCAACAAGAGCTGGTATTGCTGCAGTCTCAGCCAAAAGAGTGACGTCGTTGAAGATTGTAAGTTGTAACGTTATTCACTGTTTTAAGAGCACCACTTCTCTTGATGCTCCAGGCATCTAATTTTTAGGGGTGCCAAAATAGGACCCTAATTGTAGGAACTGCCAACAGCAGCGGCATGAAGCAAGAGGTGAGTTTGGAACCTCGAGATGCAGAACAACAGCATCACATGAGCCATATAATCTAATCACCTTAAACTGGATAATATGGGGGATTCTATAGGGGAGCATTATGGGGGTTACTAAGGGGGATAGTAAGAGCTTAGACTATAGCTCACATTGTTGCGGAGCGTTGAGAGCTGAGGTGTGCATGTCAGACAAGGAAGGCGTCCAGTGGCAATGCTACGTGAAATCATGGATCAAGAAGTCCACCTACCCGGAACCCTTCAAGGCCCAGCCAGCTGTGTCCATTCATAGGAGCCATAGTCTAATTTAGGCGACTACTATAGGCGTTACTAAGCGGCATACTAGGAGTTTAGACTATAGCTCATATGGCGGCATGCGGAAAGTGGAGCTCTGCAGACCTGCAGCTTGGGAGCGTGCATGAAGGAGCAGCTCTCACTCTTGTTCGACAAGTACTGCTCTCCAACTCTTTCGTGGATACGCAAGTCGACGAAAATTCAGGCGCAGGGTAAACCATATGCTGACATAGGAGACTTGCAGTGTCGAGTTACTCTTCTAAGAAGGGATTGCATTCAAGGTGATGAGACTTGCCAAAAAGACGGGGAATGGGAGAAGCTTTGGTGATCTAAAGGGGAGTTGTTCAACAGGACCCTCATCGAATCCTTGATGGGGACCCCAATTATTTCCTGTGTAATCTCCATAAGGCTGCAGTGAGCCTCGATGTCCCTACCATGACTGTGCGAGAATGCTTGCTTGTGAAGGGTACAAGTGTCAAACCATAGCCTTGGGCAAACTTGTTTTTGTGGCAAGGTGGCTTAGTCTTTAAGCGCAAGATGCCTGGCAGTAGTCACCTCTCATCTTACTGGTGCTTAATGGAGAGTATCCATATATATATATATATGTTTATAAACCTACCCTATAATGGTACCTAGATTCGCCCCCCCACTCCCTCTAAAGCACCATGTAGGTCATGCAAGCAGGTTCCATACGTCGAAGTTGCCCTGATCTCCGCCTTGTGCAGCCTCCTGGATGCCCGCCTCCCATCCCACAACCTCGAGGCAGGTTAAGCAAGGGCCACTGATTTAGGGTAAGGCTTTAGGTATGGGGTTTAGGGGATATATTGGGATAATGGAAAAGAAGATGGAAACTACTACAATGTGGTTGTTAGGGTTCAGGGTTTGAATTTTAAAGTAGAAAACTCCCTCAAGGGGGATACATAGGGAGCATTATGAGGGTTCTTAGGGGGGATACTAGGACTGTAGACCGTAGCTCATATCGCATAAAGGATACCAGGGCAGCTGCACTGTTTGAACATCTGCTTTCCTTTGACGTCCTGAAGGCTGTGGAGGCCTGGTTTGTCTTCTGCACCATCTTTGCCACCGGGAGCAGTCTCGCCGAAGCTCTCGCCTAAGTGGTTTTGAGGTGTAGAGCCACTGTGCCAGAACAATGGGTCCTTAAACCTTACATCCTAGAAATTGTCGTATAATTTCTTTGCACACACAGCTCGTGAGCGTCCTGACGGGTTTCTGGTAGTCACTAGTAGCTGAGCTGATTTAATTCGGCATGTGTCTCTTGGCAGGGAGAGCTTTGTATAGTTTGCTTCTGATGTTTGCTCACGTGAGTAGTGACGTCCATGTCACATGGCTGACATGGCATTATAATGGGTTCTCAGTTTGGAGAAGAGTCATGCCTGCTCAAGCAGGACGTATAGCTCATCTTGGCTGAAGATCGCCTGCTGAGGTGGATGGTGTGGACTACCGCAAGGCTTTCAGCAACTGGTGGAAGAATGAGATGAAGACCATCAAGTGACTTGGCTGTGCTTCTTGTTGCTTAACCAGGCTGTTCCTGCGACTATGGTCTCAGCTATGACGGCAGATTAAGCTACAATTGCCTGCCATGTTTACGTTTGTGGCAGGATGTTTTTGAGGCTGCTTTGGCACTGCTGTCCCCTCAAAATTAAGGTCACTTCTTCTGTGTAATGTGCCCCACGAGTTTTTGGGGCCACATCAAAGTGTCTGCCGTTTTGGAGCCTCTGAGACTGCCCCTGGTGTGAGGTATCCGACAAAGGGGCTCGTGTTTGACCTGTATGTTCGCGATTCAAGGCCTGCAGAATTGGGAAGTGTGCAAATTGCAAAATCTAGGCGCCTCAATGTATATACCTCCCAGATTGTTTAAACCGCATTCGTGGATCCTCCGAAAAGGGGCCCCATGTTCTTAGAAGCTCTGAGCCGTAATCCCAAGCCTCTAAGATGTCCCTATGCATGTAGGACCTTCAGGCGCTGCAGAAAATCATTTTATTATGTTAAACACATTGTGGGGAAATCTGGAAAAACAAGGCGCACCCATCCGCCACTATCCACCCCCTTCCGCCCTAAACCTCTGTGAGCTCTGGACTACAATTTAGGTTGGGGTGACCTATAGGGGACTATATAGGGTTTTGGGGGGGACCCATTAAGGGATATTGTCTCCTCTTTCCACCCTTTCTTCCCGGAGTGAGGAGGGAAGTGCAACAAAGTTAGGCCATCAAAGCAAGGTCCCGAAACCCTTGCAACACAAGCGTATAGCCCCCTTAAGTAGATAGAATATGGCTTTGGGTATATTATAATAAGATTCCCGTATACCCCAGATTCTATCTACTTGAGGGGACTGTAATCCTGACTGTGACTAAGAGATGTACATACGTCAAATTCTCTGTGTTTTTCTCCGGGTGACGAGCTCAAGAGTATGGGCTATGCTTAGGAGTATCCTGTTCGGCCAACGCTTTGAAAGTATAACCTGGCAGCAATTGTGAGTAGACGCAGAGACGAAAGCGTCTTATGATGTCTAAAGGTCCACCCCTGTAGGCCCCTTGTAGAACCCTCGCAACCCCCCGAAACAAGTTCCGTACTGCTGGAGACTCCCATGTAGACTTGACGTAAACCTGAGCCCCATAGGTTGGGTACTGCCCGCACCCTGTAACAGTTGGAGAATATTTATTCTATAGCTATGCACAGCCCTTGATATGACCCCTATATCCTAAACCCCAAATAGTAGCTTCCGTTCTTTTTTCCAGTATCCCTACATAATCACCCGACACCTAAACCCTAAACCCCCGATTCTGGGTTTCCATTTTCTTTTCCATTATCCCTATATAACCCAATTCTTATATACAATATATAACCCTAATATACCTTATAACAACCCTATATAACCCTGCTACTATTATACCTCATTATAATATGGTACCCAACCCATAGGTTGGAGGAATGGAGTACCTTGGTGGAACCACTGCAGTGCGCCAACAAAGCTTGCTGCTGACTGCTTCTTGGCTAGGGACGAGGGTATCCTTAGATTTTGAGGTCAAAGGTTTGTAGGGTTTTTGGAAGGAATTCCTTGGTATTGGAAGGTTTAGAGTTTTTTGTTGGCAGATTGCGGTTTGCGCGTTGAGGGCTCATACGTGAACTATGCGTCTATTTAATTTTCCATTTTCTGTTCCATTTGATTCTCCATTATTGCGGGTTAGTAAGCCCTATATAAGCGTGAAACCCAAGGTTCGCAGGCATGGGGCGCTTTTGAATAGCAGCTTGGAGTGGCCGCAGTATGCTGAATGCCACCGTATTTCACTCCTTCATTCCCAAGAGCCCACATCCAGACAAGTAGGGTTTAGAGTTTGGGGTCCAGGGTGGAAAGGCGTATGGAAAGCCTCTGTGCTACCAAGTACGCTGTGTTGCTTCACAGTTCGACGCTGTGCCGTGGTACTGGCCATGCAGCCCGCGTCCGATCTATAATTATTTGTGGTGTTTCCAGAAACTAGGGCCGTTTTGTTGGGGCCTCCCTGTTTGTGGACACCACCATGTGCAGGTACAGGAGCACAACGCCCATGGGGGAGGTCACTGTGTGGGATACTCAGACACCACTTGGCACGTTGCAAATGCGTTTTAGGGTTTAGGGTCTAGGACAGGCACTGTGAATGGAGGAAATCCTCCACCCATCATAAACCTAAGACACCAATAACAGCAGTATTTTGAGTGTCTTAAATGGTGCACGATTTCTTCCAAATGCCACACGTACATCTCTGACATCTTGAAGCTGTTTTGCCTGCCACTCTCCATGCCTCGCTCCCTGCTTGTGTCATCCTTTGCCTGAGGCCAACTACAGAAACAGTTTGCCTGGACTATTTCATGAAGGCCTTAATCGAGGCCATTTAGCCGTGGAGTGCTCTTCCCCTGGAATCATGGCTGTTATTGAGCCCGAAAGAGCTTATACAGTGTTGCCGCAGAACATGTACAGGATATTGGCAGGATGAGGGCGCGCTTGAGATTTGCAGAGTGGGTGATTGCCTGGACGATTCGACACGGGGCCCGAATCCCAAGCCCTCAACCCTGCATGGACTATAGATCCTACATCCAAATCCCTAAGACACAAGACACATGCCCCAGTCAAACCAGGAAATCCGAAACCTAGTTCCTAAGCCCTGAATCTTGAATCCTGAACACCTGCCCGGCGCTTTCGCCTTCAGGTGAGCCACCCCGTGATGCTTATCGGCTTAGCCGGCTGCGGCAAGTTGCTCAGATGTGGGAGTTCGACATATAGGAGGACCCTAATTTCATGGATTCCCCTACACCACCTCTCTGCACTACTCCCCTAGTTCCCCGTTTTCCCCATTGATGAAGGTTATTTGGAGATAATTACGTGCGTTTTAGGCTAATTTACGGGCAGCGGTAGGGGAACCCATGATAAATGGGGGGCACTCAGAGACCGTACTTGGACGTTCAGGGGTACGTACTTATAACCCAAGTGGGATCATATTATCAGGGAACGCGGGGCGTGAGGACAGCGAAGAAAGGTGTGCAGGGATCCCCCTTAAAGCTTTTGTGTGGGCTACACTTTCTATGTCCCAGACAAGCCCTATACGGAGCCTACTCTCCACCGCAAGAATTTTGGTCGTCATGCCTACCCTCTCTCCCAAGCCAATCAGACACTCAATGTGAGCAAGCTATATAGTCTAAACTCGGGGCTATATAGGGGATTACATAGGGGACTATTGCAGGGTTTTTAAGGGGGGTTGGGAGTTTAGACTAAAGCTCATGTAGATCCTTTTGGAGAGGACGTTAGTCTTTGTAGGGGCGTCATGACTATGGGGTCCGTATTCTCCGGATTTAGAGCACAATGTTGGGCCCCCGCAATGCTGTAGGCTACTATAACAATGAATAGTTAACTTGTAGTCTCCCAAACCTTGTTGAGTATGCTCTCCCATAGGAACCATGAGAGAGAGCCTATCCGTGTTAGGCCAGTCCAAGGATTGTGGCTACAGTGACTGTTCGCGCACTTCAAAATATGGCTTTACATCTGATAAGTGTGCTCGTCCAGTTTGTCAATGAGGTCTCAAAATTTCGGGCTTCCACTTTAAAGGTTTTTGATGGTTTGAAGTGGACTGCAGGGAACCCCCATGCTGCGCATCTACACCCTAAACCTCAAACCCCAAGCCCTGTATCCTGAGAAACGGTATGCTGACGAGGACCCTAACCCCAAGCCCCAAACCTCAAGCCCTAGGAAAGACGCAGTCCTGCACGGGTCTTCTGAAGAGGTTGGACCCTGAGGCCCGACATCTGGGAGCTTCTTTCAGGATGTGAGGTGGAGGGTTTAGGGTGAGTGTTTTGTTTTCGGGATTCTATGTCGGGTATCCAGGAAAGGGAGCTTTTCAAGATTATGGTTCGCTGTGTAGGGGGATGCTCAGACGAAGAAGAAGCTTAGCCTACTGGGGTTGAAGGGACCCCTGTGTTGAGACATGCCCATATGCCAGCGAACTGACAGTTTCATTTTTTTTGGCCTTTGCGGGACAATCGGGGTTTACAAAGATCTTGTGTTGCTTTCGTGGGTAGTCCGCCCATTCAGAGTCTTGGCTAGGACAGCCCAGAGAATTTTGTACTTTGCCAAACAAATGTGGAATCTGGAATTTCGAGACCTCCAATTGTTTTTCTTTCAAGGAAGAGCGTCCCATGGCCGTTTCATATGCTTAGGCCTTAATTTAAACCTTACATGCGAATTCCTAAAGCCCTACATCTTGATGTGACAGCAGCCCAACTGCAAAGCATTTTTTTGGAAATTTTAATTGCCTTGCAGTTAGGCTGTTACCACATCAAGATCTTCCTTAGGGGGGTTCTAAATATGATGAGGGGTCACTCTAGGGTTTACACACGGGAATATCTCTGTGATGGTCAGGGGGTGTTGTCCAATTCAAGGCGCGTTTTCAGGCCCCCAGGCTTCAGTATGAGGAGGAGAAGGAGGCGGATGCGGTCCGTTGAAGGCGTCAGGCTGTTTTTATATCTTAGTATATTTTGCTTTATTGCAGGTCTTCATGGGGTACAAGATGAACATGCCCCTTGGTGGCACTGCCTTTGACATTGCTTGCCACACATGGGTAGTTTCCAAAATTAGGGTCCCATTTTCGTACCCCTAAATATTTGGTGCCGTAACATGACTTATAACCAAAAGGGGCCCATAATTTTGAGAACAACCCACATACTTGGCAGAGCGCAACCACTGAGGAGTTTCTACACGGACTCCACCATGCTCCAGACCATGATGGAGATTCCACTTGAGAAGAAGGCAGCTGCAAGATGGAAGCTAGGATAGTAGTCTTAATACCATTACTAGTACTACTATCAATAATAGCACTACTAGTAATAATAGCAATATAAGATATTAAGTGTAACAACCGTGATAACAGCAATAAAAGAGGTAGTATGAGTATCAAAATGTCTGTTGCGCGTGCTGTGACAGGCAGGGAGGCTGTATGCTCCTCCGGGCAAACTTCAGATGATCTACTTCATTGACGACCTCAACATGTCGCATTCTTACGCAAGCCTGACGCTACCTGTTGGACAGATGCGAGAATGGTATTACTATTGCGACTACTGATGTTATTACTATAATTCTCACTACCATTATTTGTTACCATAATATACTTCTAGCTACAATTATTGCTATTACTAGTATTAACTGGTACTTTTATATTTATTACTAGTGGTATTATTGCCATATGGGTATGCTGAGGCCAGCACTGGACAAGTATAACACCCAGTCGGCCATCGAGCTCATCAAGCAGAAGCAGGAGCAGCCCTACTTCATTCCTTATGCAGCCCAAGAACAAATGACATCGATCATGGTAATAATAGATGATACTGATAATAATCGTAGCAATAAGAACAGTAGTAATCATCATCCCCACAAAGCCCCAGACCATTTGCTTTCTCGAAGGTTAGGACCCCTCTTTTTGAGGCTTCATACTGCGGGGTCGTGATGCGGCAAGCCCTCTAAGAGTTTTCTACCTCAGTAACCTTCAAGGAGTGCAAAAGTTGGGAAAGTCCCAATGCAATCTGACTGGTGGTTTCAGGAAGAAGGGAGTGCCACCCCTATATAAGATATTCCCTCTTTCCCTACTGACCACCAGAAAACTGCAGGACTACAATCATTGGTATGACCGGGTAAAGATCCAAGTCAAGGACATTGGCGGCACGCAGTGCCCCTTGTGGCAGCCCTGTGAGACCCCATTACTATTATTTTTGTTCTTGCGATTTTTTATTTCAAATATTACATTGAATATCTGGTCTTGTCGTTATTACTACTGTTATCACTAATAAAATTATGACCGTTATCTATAAGGATCTAACTTCTCCAGAGGCAGCCCTACTTGGCAAAGCCAGCAAAGCAATTGCCAAACAGTCCAGCTACCAAACTCTTTCCCCAGCGAACCTACAACCTAAACCCTAAACCCTAAAACCCTAAACCCTACAACCCTAAAACCCTAAACCCTAAAACCCAAATCCTAAACCCTAAAACCCCGCACCCTACACCTTGGTACCCCTGTTCCAAAACGCTTGTAGAATCCTTGCAGGCCTGTCAGCCCAGGGGTCCCATTCTGTGGTCCCCGTTTAGGGTTTAGGGTTGGGCCTTGGGCCTATAGTCCCCCTTACGTAGATAGAATATTGGGGTTATATGGGGATTATCTTGGGATAATGGGAAGAAAATGGAAACCACTATTTAGGGTTTAGGGTTTAGGGACTATAGCCCCCCTTAAGTAGATGGAATATGGCTTTGGGTATATTATAATAAGATCCCCATATACCCCGTATTCTATCTACTTGAGGGGGGCTATAGGATTTGGCTCACCTTTCTGCACCATTCCTAGCAGGTACCTATGCTGCATGAACCCCACCGCTGGATCTTTCATCGTCAATCCGCGGCTTCAGCGGCATTTCTGGACCGCCCCGATTCTGCTGAACATGCTTGAATTGAAGGCTTCTTGGAGGTTATTTCTGGAACATAGAAATCATGTTCATCATGCAGGGCATACTTCTCTCCCGGCATCCTTCTGCAAAAATGATTGAAAAGGGCTTGGAGCAACTTAGCTTTTGGGGACGGAAATGCATGGAGAAAATGGGGAAGAGTGACTAGCTTCCACATCGTTCTCCGTTTTCCTCCCTGTAACGAGATGTGGTCTTTCTTAGCGAGATGCAGTCTTCGATGACGTTCTCAGCATCCTAGTCCCATTCCCATGCTGCGAAAGGGTTGTGAGGAGGCTAAGGAGATCTATCTGCAAGCTATGAAGAAACTATTGTCAAAAACCAGCATGTTTGTAGTATATGTATACATACATATGGCTACCGCTTAGTATGAAAGGTCCGGAACAAGGGCGAGCGCACATCCCGATCCAGACCCCGACCCAGAGCTCCGGATCAAGTCCCCGAATTGCGTTCCAGACCCCTTCGTTCCAGACCATCGA